ATGATGGTTTCCAGCTTCATCCATGGCCCTGCATAGGACATGAACTCATACTTTTTGATGGCTGCATAGTATTCCATGGTGTATATGTGTCACATTTTCTTTATCCAGTCTATCACTGATGGGCATTTGGGTTGGTTCCAAGTCTTTGCTATTGTAAACAGTGCCACAATAAACATACGTATGCATCTGTCTTTATAATTGAATGTTTTATAATTCTTTGGGTATGTACCCAGTAATGAGATTTCTGGGTCAAATGGTATTTCTAGTTCCTTGAGGAATTCCCACACCATCTTCCACCATGGTTGTATTAATTTACACTCCCACCAACAATGTAAAAGTGTTTCTATTTCTCCAAATCCTCTCCAGCATCTGCTGTCTCCTGATTTTTTAATGATCACCATTCCAAATGTCATGAGATAGTATCTCAATGTGGCTTTGATTTGCATTTCTCTAATGATGAGTATGATAAGCTTTTTTTTCATGTGTTTGTTGGTTGCATAAATGTTTTCTTTTGAGAAGTGTCTGTTCATATCCTTCGCCCACTGTTTGATGGTTAATGCCTTTTATAAACGAGTCACTGATACTACTATACTACTTTCCTGGGGCAGTCATAACAAACTGCAACAAACTTGGTGTCTTAACACAATAGAAATGTATTCTCACATTTCTAGACATCAAGGTAAAGACCTACATTTCTTAAAAAGGCTCTATGGGAGACTCTGTTCCATGCCTCTTCTAGCTTCCAGGTACAGTTGGCATTCCTTGACTTGTGTTCACATAACTTTCTGCTCGGCCCTCATCTTCACATCCCATCTCCTCTGTGTCTTCCCTTCTGTGTGTCTATCTCTGAACTCCCCCTGTCTCTTTTTGTTATAAGGATAGATGTGATTGCATTTGGGGCTTGCCTGGATAATCCAGGATAAGATTCTGTCTCAACATCCTTAATCTATACACATCTTTTGTCATGTAAGATAATATTACAGGTTCTGGGGCTCCAGCCATGGATGTAGCTGGCATTCAACTTACTATAACTGCTTTTTTCACACAGTTCTGCAGTCTGAGTACATCTCATCCAAAATGCTTGAGACCAGGTCAGGTGTGGAATTTTTCACTTGTGATGCCAAATAGGAACTAAAAAAGTTTTGGATTTTGAAGCATAATTTTTTGATTTTTTGATTTGAGGATGCTCAACCTGTATTAGAAATCAGGGGAATTGTTTGGTATGGGAGGTCCACTTCCAATTATTCTTAGATAATTACATACTGGTTTATGTTATTTTTTTCTAACTTGCTCATTATAAAGCATCTTCAGTTAGTTTGATCCTTATTGCCAATTAGTATTCTCAGAGTCATTTAACTACTGCAATAGTTTAGTCTAAAAGTCGGTTTTGTGTTACTGACATTTTGTGGGGTATGCACTATTGATATCTTTCTTGTCTAGGTGTCAAGGTAAATTAGTCAATAGGATTTAAGAGATGGTCCACTTTGAAGAATAAAATAGCCTCTCAGGATTAGAGTCCAATTTTAATTTAATTACATGTTGGAAAAGAAAAGATTTGGTTCAATGTAATTTCTGTTGTAAAATTGGGTGAATTGTCACCTAAACTTAAACACTGTACATTAATTTGATGTTGCTGTATCCTTTTGCAGAAAAAAAGGAAATAGTGATAAAAGCAGACAATTATTCTTTGAGAACATATTAATTCATTTAGGTGAAAACATAGGCCACTTTATAAGTAGGATGTAGAAAAAAACTCATGCTTTAACTATAGGGCGTCTCAAGGAATTTATAGTGAAATTGATAGTCTTCTAAGAACTATTGATTAATTTGGGAATTAGTTTGCTGTGTACATTATTTCTGAACTGTATTTTTAAATATAAACTTCTGGATGGCATGGCATATTGGTAAGACTTCATAGAATTGAGGCATGTTGATTTAGGTTTGGGAAGTTGAAGAAAGATTATTCACAAAATAAAGGAACATTCTAATATTCTATGGGACTGAAAGAGCCTTGAGTATAACACTATACTCTAGCCATGGATCATCACTAATAATTTCTAATAATTTCATTACTCCTATGTCTTACATATTTTTTCCATCGTCTAATCAACTCACATTGATTCTAGATGAAAAGGGAAAGTTATTGGGCTTCAGTCCATCCCACCACATAAATTGTTGAATAACACTTGCAAATTGCTCTTGTTAACAGTAATATTATGTTGGAGCCTGTACACTCAAAAATATTATGAAAGCACAGATGTAAATAAGCTGGAAAGATGATGAATTTCAAAAGACTTTGAAAGATAGTTGTAGTTTTTGAATTCCAAAGATAAGAATATGAATTCTGATGGACAAGACCATCAGAATGGACATGTGCAAGAACTAAATAAAACTGAAGGAGTATACTTTTACATGGAAAGAGTTAGCTTTCACGTTGTTATGTTAAAGTGGAATCAGCAACAAAGTCCCAAATAGAAAAATACTAGTTGTGGTAGCAATTTGGTCACCTACAAAACATTATGCTTAGAAAATTCACTTTGCAATTCTGATCCTTTATGCCCTCATCTATAAAACACGATTCAAAATACCAGCTCCTTGGAGTTCAGGGAATTATGAAAATAAATTATTTGAATTTTTAGAAAAAAAGAAAAGCCCTAAAACATTGTTTTTTTTAAAAATGTACCCCGTTATATAAGTAAAGCCCATCATAAAACATATGGCATATATGTAATTACTAAGGAATAAAATTAGCATATAGCAAAGCCCAACTTCTGGCTATAATAATTAAAGCTACTTTTACAGAGGGAGTAAGCTTTATGCCTACTTGGACTTCAGGAAGCAGTCCTCTAAATGGTAGTTTTTCCAAATTGAAGGAAAACGTCATTGGCTTAAGGATTATTGGTTTTCTACAGGCTTTGTAGTCAGACACATAAACTCTAAAACACTACCTTTAAAAAAAACCTTTTAAACCACTTTAATGGGTTATGATTTACATTAAAAAGCTGTACATAATATATACAACCTGGTTAGTTTGGAGATAAGCATACACCAGTGAAACCATTACTACGATCTATGCCTTAAATATATCCATTCCCAAAAGTTTGTTCCTGCCTTCTTTATTTATTATTATTATTTTTTGAAAAGAACACAACATAAGATCTACCCTTATACCACATGGTTTAAGTGTACAATATTGTTAACTACAGGTAGTATGCTGTACAGTATGTCTCTAAGATCTATTCATCTTGCATAATTTTATCTTTGTTTTTTTTTTACTAATTCTTCCTCATTTTCCTCTTCAAGTCCCTGGAAACAACTATACTATTCTCTGCTTCTGTGTTTTCTCATCTTTAAATAATGTTTACACTAAAAAACACTAACTTTTATTTTTAAAACTAAAGATTAGTAAATATGTTGTATGAGTGTATCTGCATAAATGCATATGAAATATATGATGATAGTTTAATATATGTAAAGAAAAGGATGTAACATAGACTACTATAGATATAACTATCAAGCAGAGTTTTCCTGGATTATTTATCCATTTGTTTAAAGAAACTCTGGATGTGAGTTAGTCTTTCTGGGAGAAAATGGGCCAATTATTTAAGGTGCCGTGAAATTTTACAGAAATGTTGGTGAGTCTATAGAATTTTGACTTGTCAAGGTCTCTTTTGTCTGGTCCCTGTGCTGGCCTGTGTAAATTATATTAACTATTTTTATTTTCTTGGAGGGCTGCCACATGGAGCCTGTATAAATTATGAGTATAATTAAGCACATAGACTGGAATATCAGAAGCTAATTTTTAGGTATGTCTCAGTCTCTCTTCTGAGGCTTTGCCTTGAAGCCTGGGAAGTTCTCCGTGCCAGAGGAAATAGATGGAAAATACATTTTCTCAATATATAAAAGTTTTCTACCTTTGGATGAGCTGGTTACTTGGGGTGGGATGGAGCTGCTATTCTTGAATTACCCAGCTTTAAAAAGCCACAGACGGCTCAGAAGGCTCTTGGTAGGACCAGAGCTGATGTGTGAGCCTCTTCTCACTGCTCTTATCCCAGGCCCAGGAGAACCATTTAGTGTGAACTCTTCATTCCTAGCACAAGTTATACCTTCAGTTCCATCCTTATGAAGTTCTCAGAGTTTATCCATGCCTTTTAAGCTTCCTTACGCATCTTCTTTCTAGTCCCTACCCACCATTTCTCATGGACTTGGCATGTAGACCACACTTTCCTCGTCCTCTCATACAAACCTCATTTGACCTGGTGACTGGGTTGCCTTTGTTCGGCACTTTAGAGTAGGTGGCCCTGGATATAAGGCAGACATTAGTTATTTAATTGAAAATATTGACATTTTTTAAGTTTTGAGCTAGGCAAAGAAAGCCTTGGTCCAAATAAAACAAACTCTTAGGTACTAAATTCTATATATTTAGCACCATATTTAAATTGAAACAAGGATATTTGATGCATTAGAGATTTGGCATATTTTTCTATCACCCCAATCTGATTAGGGAGTTTGAATTCTAAATCAGAAGATCTCTAAAATAATTTGTGTTTCTTTCTTAAATCCCAGTCTGTCTTATTATCATACTGATAGTATTTCTAATAATTATATTTTAATTTTTGTTTTTATTTTCATTGTCAATGGATATTTAATTTATTTAATTGAATTTTGGAGAAAGTTATTTAAATGAATATAGGTAATTATTTAAGTGAAAGACAGTAAATGCCAATAAATTTTCTTCCTTTTAAATATAGGCTTATCATCTACTTTTTTAAAAAAAAAACCTGATATTTAAAATCTTATACTATTTTATTTTTTTCTCATGTGTTTGGTCATTTTAGCCATATCTTAGAAGTTCTATTATTGGATTGAAAAAGATATATTCAGTTTTGCTAATTATTAAAAGATTTTCAAAATTATTGGGCTGATTTAAAGGCAGTGGCTCTGATTAGGCATGTTGAATTCAAATATGCATGTAACAATTTGTTTTTCTATTTCTTTAGATAATCCAAAATCTACTCTACCTCCATTCCTTTGTATTGCCTTCAAATATCACGCTTCAAGGTATAGTGACTAGGCTTAAAGATTTCACATATAATCCAAAGAAATCTGTTCAAGTGGACATCTATCAACAGGTAAATCTATGCTTTTAACTCTGTTTTTCTTGGCTATAATTACAAATAAAAGAAACAATGCACAACAGATACAAATTGCATTAAAATATTACAGAATTGTGCACAGGAAAAAAGTCATGAAGCCAATGAGTGTGTATGACTTGGATCTTGACTACTGGTCAATTCAAGAGTCACTAACAAGGAAGAGGTGACAATGTTGGAATTGGAAATTTTGGAATTGATTGGATCTGGGTCTGTTTTCTAATGGATCAGTTAACAGGTCATAAGATATCATTTTATATGAAGAAAAACAAAATAAGTAGTAGATAAGAAAATACAGAAGTGTATGAGTGGTGCCTTACACCTGAAACATGCAATTATTATTAAAATCAAGGACATATGCTGAAAGCAGAGAGTAAAGTATCATGAGAAATAAAATGCCTAACTGCAGAAAAAAAGTAATACAAAAACAGAAAAGATTGTGGAGAAAAATGCTTAATCATATGTTTTTTATTTAAAGACAAGGAAACTTTTGAAAGGAATGATTTGTGTAGCATCTGAGAAAATAACTTGACTTCTATAACAAAGCAGGAACAATTTAAAGTTGACAGTTCAGAGAACGAACATGCAGTACATTAGAAAAACATGAATTTAATAGGGAATATAAATCAGAATTCCTAGGTGATCTTCCTTCAGGTCAGAATCTAGAGAAATGTGAAACGGTTGATTATCTTTGGAAGGCTAATGTGCAGGTCAACTATTGTCATTTAAAAATTTTAAAGAAAGAACATATTTGTGCATTAAAATATGTCTATGGCGATGATTGACACTTAGAGACGTTGAATATGTAGTTGTGTGGGTGCATGTGCACAGGTGTGTAGGTGCACATGTGTGTGTCTGAGATAGAAAAATTGGAGGAGTCAAAGGAAAGGGCTGGGAGTGTACGCCATTACTATACATTTTCATGTCTTTCCGTTTTTCTGATGCTTCTGTTTTCTTTTTTGTTTTTTTGTCCTGTTTTGAATTTGAATCATGGCCTCATCATTTACTTGTATATACCATAGTCAAGATGCATTTAGCAAATACTGCTTTCCTTTACTTTTCATTTCAGATGTCATGTAATGCTAATCTCTTTTCAGGCACGTATATCATAATTGCTACCAGCGTTTGCCATTGTATTACTGCCCTGGTCTAGAAAGGACTGGTTAAAAAAAAAGTCTGCCTCAAACAAATATGTCTGGCCCTAACATTTTATTTTGATTTGTTCCTCTTTAACTTCATTACAAAACAAACCTGAAACTTCATACTTACAGAGATAAAATGACAGCAGTTGGCCTAATGGGTGAAATGTTTTTTTTTTTTTCTTTCCAAGCTCAAATATTCATAGCTATTTATTAATCAGTTTATCTTTTATTTACCCTATTATATGTCAATAGCTATACTGAGAACTTGGGATACAATAATTGACTTGTTATCTTAGAATCTGATGGGAAAGAAAGATATTGGATAAATTATTAGAAATATTATTTGAAGGCAACAATATTGTAGATGTTTCCAAATTATTCATTGGGAGAATGAGGAATTTGGAGCAAAATACTGTTTTCCTATGTTTCAAATAGAAATCAGAACTATAAGAAAAGGACTTATTACAGTAGGTCATAATATTGAGACAAGATAAGAATCTATACGTTCCTGAATTTTTTTTGAAATAATTTAGAGAGTATTAACCAGTGAAATAGTGTTTAAACTGATCACGCAACTATTTATGACTTTTTAAAGAAATCCAAATAAATGAGAAATTCAAATCTTAGAAGTGTACTTATATATAGTACATTTATTTTTATTAAATGTATATACATAAAAATATACACACATTGAATATACATATATACAGGTAAATATTTACTGGCTTTGTTGTTTCATCAATTCTAAGAAGCACATGATTTCACATTTTAACGTCTTTGAAATCAGGACATTTTACACTGGATGGCATGTTATGATCATTGTTGCTAAGGTGGCAGGAATGGCAGAGTCACGGCTTATGCCTATGCACATTTTAATGATTGTTTCTGATCATTATTGAACAGTTTCAATCTTTTGATATTCCAGTCAATAAACCATTTGTGGACCATTAGAGGAAGGAATATAAGTTTTGTTGTTCACTGAATATCTTCTGTTGATATTTTCTGGTAAGATGAAGAACATCAGTGTCAAAATTTAAAGTGGTGTAAGCAGCTTGAAAGAAATTCCTAGAAATGGTAATGGAGTACTTTGTAGAAATGCCAAACTGTGGATGCTCCTTATAGGCCAGAAGAGGATACTGTGTAGGAAAACACAGCTACTGCACACTGTGATTCAAAAAGTGATTCAGAAGAACCATAATTCAATTGTGAAAATATTTAGCAATATTTAATGAGTTGGAACTCATTAAATTTTTTTCTTTTAGTACACATTTATACATGTAATTTTGATATAACTTAAAATTGTCATTTTCAATTGGACAAAATGTGTATAACTGAAACATGTATATAACTGAAACTATAGCAGAGTATTCACCAATATGTCTGCAACAGTATACTCTAGTGTTAGGATTGTGGGTGATTTACATATTTTTCTTTATGTATTTTTTTACATTTTAAATTGCCAATTACTATACAATTGGCAAATGATAGTTGCTGATTTTAATCTTTAAGTGAAAATTTATTTTACATTTGTAGAGTAATTACTGAAGTAGAAATATAATGCATTAACTTCCAGATTTTAGAAGGACAAGTTGGAAGCTTTTTTCCTTTGGTGTAAACATAATTAGTAAAACACAAGAATTGGTATTTACAGAATAGCTCTAACTACATGAAAAGATACTCAAAATTATTAGTACTCACAGAATGTAAATTAAAACCACAATGAAAATTTTCATGTCTACTGCATTAGAAAAAAATTTAAAATTATGCATCGGTCAGGATATGTGGCAAGAACTCTTATGCACTGCTGGTATCAGTGTAAGTTTCTACAATAAATCTTCTGTAGTTCCTATCCAGTGTCTCTAGAGAATGATTTGCACAAATGCCCCAAGAGAGGAAAGTACAGGAATGTTCACAGGAGCTAATGACATCTAACTGCAGACAGTCCAAATCTCTATACATACTTGCGTATGGGTTACATATAAATATAGATACATACACATGTATATTCAGAAATGAAATATGTTCAATCCTTATGAGTGATTCCATATTTGAGAATTTGCATATCCACAGAAATTTGTGATTCACAGCACTTTCACAATCATTTTCTGACATGCACAAAATAGCAAAAAAATTTGTCATGCAACACTTATATTCGCAGCTGAGGTCAAACAAGGCAAGACTCTGACTTCTGGTTTTAGTTCTCATAATATAAACCAGTATTCTTTCTGCAGTCTAACACCATGTTTTTCACATTTTGTGCTTTTTGTTGATGATCTTGCTGTTTAAAATATTCCCTAAGAATAATGCTGAAGCACTGTCTAGCATTCCTTAGTACAAGAAAACTGTGAAGTGTCTGATAGAAAAAACAATTGTGTTAGATAAGCTTCATCCAGACATGTGTTACAGCACTATTTGCTATAAGTTCATCGTCAGTGAATCAGGAATATGTATTAAATAAGGTGTCTTTAAACAGAAACACACATAAGACAAGTTTTATATTGATTGGTTGATGAAAATGTGATCAGAGTCTCACAGAAATATAACCTTGTTTTCTACTATGTGCAGCAGTTCAGCATTTGCTGATTTAGTGTTCATGGTGACTTGATAGAACACGACTTCAATGAATAATGAGAAACGACTGGACTGTACAACATCAGATTTATAAGTCTATGTACATCTTGTGTAAATGTAAAATTATAATAAATTAAAAATGTTTCCAAGATTACATGTCATATGCATATTAATATATGCATATAATATATAAAATTTAATATATATTTGAAATAGTAATAATTTTATTAAATAGTTATTTAAAATATTAATAATTAAAATTTGACTCTGACCTATACATTTTACATTTTAGGTAATGCAAATTTTATATAAAATATGATATATTTAGTTTATGTACTACATATAAGTTTACATATACATATACATACGTGTGTGTATGGTAAAAATATAAATAACATTATGTTAAAAGCCATAATACAATTTGGGATAGTTGTTGCCTTTTGGTAGAGAAAGAGTGATGTGATCAGAGAGGACACACAGGCGATTAGATTAATAATGGCCATTGCTATTTTCTGAAGATCCTAAAATTATTTAATATTTTTAGAGAAACTCGGGAGTATTTCACATTCAGCATCAACTATGATTTATTGCACACTTAACAATGTACAGACCACTAAGCTGAGGCAAGCATACACTATTTCATTTAATCCTTATACTACTCTTGCGAGGTAGGTACTCTTCATGCAGTTTTTTTTTTGTCACTCGAAAGATGAGATTGTCATGCAAATTTCACTTTAAGATTTGGCTTTTTGCAATGGGGAAAGGATTCCCTATTTAATAAATGATGTTGGAAAAACTGGCTAGCCATGTGCAGAAAGCAGAAACTGAACCCCTTCCTGACACCTTACACTAAAATTAACTCCAGATGGATTAAAGACTTAAACATAAGACCTAACACCATAAAAACCTTAGAAGAAAACCTAGGCAAATCCATTCAGTACATAGGCATAGGCAAGGACTTCATGACTAAAACACCAAAAGCATTGGCAACAAAAGCCAAAATAGACAAATGGGATCTAATTAAACTCCACAGCTTCTGCACAGCAAAAGAAACAATCGTTAGAGTGAACCAGCAGCCAACAGAATGGGAAACAATTTTTGCAATCTACCCATCTGACAAAGTACTTATCTCCAAAATCTACAAAGAACTAAAATAGATTTACAAGAAACAAACAAACAAACCCATTGAAAAGTGGGCGAAAGATATGAACAGACACTTTGCAAAAGAAGACATATATGAGGCCAACAAACATGAAAAAATGCTCA